ACTCATAGCGACCCTATGTACAACGGCCATAAACCCTGCTCTATGCTGTTCCAATCTTATTGTCTCTGACACATCTACCCCATTACCCCAGTCACTGAATCAATCTCATCAAGGGTCTTCCTCTCTTACACTGTCCTTACACCCTTCAAAGCATAACGCCCTTTTCTAAGGACTGGTCCCTCCTTGCAACATGCCCGAAGTATGTCAGACAAAGCTTCAGAATCTTTGCTTACCAGGAGCAGCCTGGTCTCATCCTTTCTAGGATGAACCTGTCTGCTCTCCCAGCAGTCCATGGTATATTCAATACTCTTTTCTAGCACCACAGCTCAAAGGCATCAATTCTCCTTCTGTCATCCCTAGTTACTGTCCAGCTTTCTGATGAATACTTAGCAAGCAGTTGCAAAGACTATGGCCTGGATCAGGTGCACCTTAGTTTCCTGACATCTTTGCTCTTCAGTACTTTAGAGAGGTCTCTGACAGCAGGCTTTCGCAATAAAATGTATCTCTTGATTTTCTGGCTGCTGGTACCAAAAGTATTGATTGTAGAGCCAAACAAACTGAAGCTGTTAACAATCTCATCTCTTCACCATCTATCATGATGCTGCCAATAGGCCCAGTGGTGAGAATCTTTGTTTTCATGATGTTGAACTCCGGTCCATATTAAAGGCTGCAGTCCTTGACCTTCTGCAGCAAGAGCTTCAGGTCCTCCTCAGTTTCAGCAAGAAGAGTTGTGTCATCTGCATAATGCAGACTGTTGATGAGTCTTCCTCCAATCCTGATGCCACATTTCTCTTCAGAGTCCAGCTTCCCAGATAATTTTTTCCACATATAGATTGAAAAGGTATGGAGATAGGACACACCGTGGTGTATAACTGTCTCAATTTTGAACCATGCAGTGTTTCCTTGCTCTGTTCTGACAACTGCCTCCTGGTCCAAGTATAGGTCTTGCATAAGGACAAAATGTTCTGGGATTCCCATTCTTCTCAGAGTCAGCCACAGTTTGTTGTGATCCACATAGCCAAATGCCTTTGCATAGTCAATGAAACAGACAGACATAATATACATTAATTTTTTACTTGCCAGAAGGAGCATGGTGTGTGAGCGCAGGAATCATGGCAAGCTTTTGGAGATGACTGCTTTTCTGGGCATGCGTTTGTTACGTGCAGGTTTGCTCTGCCCCTGGGAGCAAGGCTAGCCAGCCTGGGGCCTAGGGTTTGAACCAGGAGGTGGCCTTAAGCCAAAAGGCAGCTGGCAGAAGCGCCCATGTTGTTCCTGGTTGGCTCCTCCCAGGGTCTTGGGAAGTTCTCCTTGCCAGAAGGAGCATGGTGGTGTAAGCGCAGGAATCGTGGCAGGCTTTTGCAGTCGACCAAGAGAGAGCTATGTTGGCCTAGTGGAAAGGAAGTTATGCTACCAAGCCGAAGGTGGGTGATTTTCATCTGCGGCTCTCAGCAAAGTTCAAATTGTCTTCCTGTCAAACATTCTTCTAGGTGGTATAGCACTGGTCTGTGCGTTGCTGTACAGAGGGAACTCGTGGTTGCTGTGATGCTGAAGCCTGTGACAGTGATGTGCCAATCGTGGTAATGGGTACCCATGGTGGACAGTGTTGGCTGGAGCTTCCCGACTAAATCAAGCCTGGAAGCAGGAGCAGCATCCACTCCTGAAATGGCTTGCCTCCGGAAACTCTATGTATGAACAGTGCTCAGGCTGTTCCTTCATGGGGTCGCTATGAGTTGTCTACGACTCGACAGCACCAAACAACAACAACAACAATGGTGGTTTAGTGGTAAAAAGTTGTGCTGCAATCCAAAGGCACATGGATTGAATCCACCAGCTATTTCACAGAATGATGGGAAATCTCCTGTCATTTACCGCCTCTAAAAACTATGGACTGGGTCCAACTGGACAGTACATAAGAATAATAATCTTTATTAAGAAAACCAAAACCATAGTTTCACTAGACAGAAATAATAGAGGTCCCACAGTGTAGGATACAGGGGGGAAATTTCCATACTTTCTTTCCCTCTCAATAAATACACATATTAGTTAATGTACATAGGGTGCTCTGAGTCACAGGTGACTCAATGGCACCTAACAACAACATGAAATTGCTTATTTTGCCTAAGACTTTATCGAATCAGAGTAAATAATAATCATAAATGATAACATATTATTATTATGGCTTTAATTTCTATTTCTTAATTTTTCTCTAATTAGAAAGACTAAAAATTTCCCTTTTCACTGTCTCTATCATTGGCCTAATTTCTATTAAATTTGTCTTCTGCATTTGCAGAAGCAGAGGAATTATTCTGGTGCAGCTTACCAGCTGGCTTTTCAGGATCAAGTTTTTCACAGAACTTCCAGAAATGATAGAAATCTTCAGGCAGGGGGAGCTTATAATGATTTTCTACTTCTTTTCGAAGGTCACTGGCGACATCAGCTTCACAGGCCTTACTTTTCTTCACAGCAACTGTTTTTTCACACTGAAAATGAGGATACCAAACTTGAGTTTGCCAAAAGTAATTTCAGTAGTTTCCCTGCACACCAATATTTACTCTTGTTCATTCAACTCTACTAGATCCATGCTTTCATACAGCTCTCTTAAGTAAAATCTGGAGATTCTTTTGGGCAAAGATAAAGAATTTATAATAAATGATGGTCAAGACCTAGTATACTGGGTTTTATGATACCTAAAAATTATGATAAATTTCTGCAATGTTAAAATGCTTAGCTGGAGACTACTTATCTTTACTTATTTTAAGCAGCAATCTTACTTTCTGGGAACCCCAAACCTTCCTTTCGGGAGTTTTTTTCCCCCCTTTTAATCTTCCTTTCTACCTAGATCAGAGATTTTCAACAGGAGGCAATTTTGCACTAAGGATATATCTGGAGATATTTCTGATTTTCATAATTGCGGAAGGGAAGATGCTACCAGGTAGTAGTTGTTAGGTGCTGCTGAGTCAACTACAACTCATAGTGTAAAGGTGCTAATTATTATCCTACAGTTTATTTCCTGTAACTATAAATCCCCCAGCCCAAGATGTCCACAGTGGATGGGTTGAAAAATCCTAACCTAGATATTTCTATTTCTTTATTTTCCCTATATGCTCAGGTTTAGTGATAGTTTTGTTCAAAGTCCACAAAAGTATTTATGCATCAGAAGACAAAACAAAAAAATAAAACCACCAAAAATTTTCATGGTGGCATTGCTTTTGGGAACAAAAAGCAAACAAACAAACAAATGCAATTACCTACCAACAAGAAAATTAATTGCCAAACAAAGGAATATTATACTTGGTGAGAAGGAAATACAACTATACATAATAACATGCATCAATCTTAATAAAATAACACTGCATGAAGAATTAAGTATTAAAGTATATGTAGGACAGTCTTATTATGAAGATAAAAGAAGTATTGTTTAGGTATGTATTAGATAAATAATACAAATAAAGATTTTAAAAAGGTAAAGAAATAAAATACAAAATTCAGTGTAGTTGCTATATTGAAAGAGTATGATAGTAAAAACATAGGCAAAAAGAATAGAAAATACAGATACAAAGCTATTAGAGTGTTGGCTTTGAGACTGAACGATGGGCTCACAGGAGAGTTGTTTTAATTCCGATAAACTAGCACCATACATTGGCTAATGATGAAAGATGTGGCCTTCGGGTTAGCAGGTGTGGCCTTCGGGTTAGCAGGTGTGATTAACTACCTGTGGACTCCAGCACCAGAGCTCCCACAATGGTAATAACCAAATGCACTTGCGACTCAGGGTGCTGCTCCTCCACAGGGTTTCTGCTACCATACGGAAAGGAACCGCCTCATCTTCTCCAACGAGAGGCTGGTGAGTTTCAACTGCTGATCTATAATAAGCAGCCTAAAATTTAACCGTCTGACATTCGGTCTTTGACTCAGTGGTGCTTTTATTATCAGGTCCTGGCATAAATCGGGGAGCTCTGGTGGCCTGGTGGTAAGAAACTGCACTGCAATCCCGAAGACATAGGTTCAAATTCAATCCGCCAGATGCTCTGCAGGAGAAGGACGGGCAATCCCATGCCATGTGATTAACAACCTCTGAAAACCCACTGGAGGATCAGCTATCGGTAGGTTCTGACTCGATGGTATTCGACAACAGCATATAATGTGGGAGCTCTGGTGGCAAGGTGCATAGGAGGTCATGCTGCTAACTCAAAGGCTGTGTCTGTGTGGCAGTTCGAATCCACCAACGCCTCCTCGGGAGAAAGAGAAATCATCTGTTGTCGGATTTACAGCCCCTGAAACTCAATAGCTGATCAGCCACAATGATCACCACTTGACCACAATGAGAGCACAAAACAGTTTATCGTGTCCCTCTATTTTCTGACTCCAAATCTCTCCTCCGGTTTTCTATTTTGTTATCATTTACTGCGTCTTCAAGTTAACAATGGAAGCATTGAGTTGTCCCAAAAGTCTTCCTTAGCATCCTCAAATCTTAAGTTCAAACTTCTCTCCGCCCATTGACCCGACCCGCCACTGGAGGTCTGAGACTATAAATCGCACAGAAAGAGATCTTTCTCCTGCAGAATCTAGGTGGATCTGAACGGCTAGAGACGTGGGGCCTCTGTGTTAGTGCAACTCCCAACAGACTTCGCCACCAAGGCTCCCTAGCATCATCCCTTGATAAATCCTCCTTCGGTGTTTCCACAGCACTTTCGGCACACTAGTATAATATTGAACAAAAAGGTTACAATAAAGTCAATACTGTGTTTCTCCTTCCCAGATTCGGGTCTCCACATGAAGCAGGGACAGCCAGATTTACCCTGAAACCCCGGTACCGCAGTGTCTGGCTTGTCACAACCAATCTGACTGGCTGAAAGAATGTATAAATGACTGCTGGTCGCCTTATTCTGCTTCTCAAGACCCGTGGCAGAGACATGTCGGAAAGATGATCTCTAAAATAGATCGCCGACCCCGAGAACATAGCTCAATAATTATTGGATGAATAAAATGGATTGTCCTTGGTGTCAAAGCTAACATCCCAAGCGCCCCTCGGAACCCACACAGCCTGTCCAGCAGTACCTGCTGGCCCTCCCTGTCGGGCCGCCGCTTCCCGCCACTGCCGACCATTCTGCAGCTGCCGTGTCAACCAAACCCCGCGTCCCTCCGCAGCTTCCGAGCGCCCACGACTACATCCGGGTGCAAGAGCGACCAATCGGCGTCTCGGCGCAAACGTCAGCGCCCCAATTTTAGGGGCAAGGCCCCGCCTTCGCCCCGCCCCAAATACCAAAGGGAGGACGGGAGACAGCTGAGACCACGCCCATTCACAGTGGCCCTGGGAGCCGGAGGGAGAACCTTCCTTTAACACTCAGTTGCCACCTACTTCTCCTGAGGTACATGGGACGGCTGCAAGGACCTCTAGGTGTTGCTTCAGAGTTTACTCAAATTTGGACACATTAAGGTGATTGATCTAGTGATCTCGTCCAGGGCTGCATGTGTTTGTTGAAATCCGTCAGTTGGTATTCCATCAATTCCTGAGCCTTGTTTTTTTGCCAATTCCTTCAGAATAGCTTGAACTTCCTTCTTCATCACCATTGCCTCTTGGTCATATGCTATTTAATGAAATTTGCCAGTGACTCTGTCTTTCTTCCACCTTCTTTTAATACTTCCTGGATCATTCAGTATTCTTCCCATAGCATTTTTAAGTATTGCAACTCAAGGCTTGAATTTGTTCTTCAGTTCTTTCAGCTTAAGAAAGGCCAAGCGAGTTCAGCCCTTTTGATATTTTTACTCCAGTTCTTTGCACATTACATTATAATACTTTGCTTTGTCTTCCCAAGCTATCCTTTGAAATCTTCTGTTCAGCTCCTTAAAACTTCTTTATTTCTTTCCTTTGCTTTGGCTTCTCAGTGCTCTAGTGCAATATTCTGAGTCTCTTCGGACATCCATCTTGGTCTTTTTATCCTATCTGGAGGATATTCTTGATATTCTCCCACAGCTCATCTAATCTTCACTTAGTGTTTGAGGCCTCAAACCTGTTCCTGAGATGGTTTTGAAATTCAGGTGGGATAGACTCAAGGTCATACTTTGGTTCTTGTGGATTTTATTTCATTTTCTTTAGTTTAAACTTGCATTTGTGTAGTTGGTGGTCTGTTCCACCATTAGCACTGGACCTATTTTTGACAATTGATAGAGAACTTCTTCAACTATTTTCCCCCCAGAAGTAATCAATCTGATCCCTGTGTAGACCACCAGGTGAAATCCATGTATATAGCTACCATTCATGCTTCTTATAAAAGGTATTTCCAATGAATAAATAGTTGTACAGAATTACATCATTCTGTCTCCAGCCTCATTTATGTCGCTGGAAGAGATCCATATTTATTCCCATTAAAAAAATAAGGAGATAGTGTGGAAATTATCAAACAATATCACTAATATCACACACAAGCAAGATCCTACTGAAGATTATCCAAAAATTATTGGAACAGTACATCGACAGAGAACTGCCAGATGTAAGTGGAGTGTAGAAAAGAGGCTATGACACAGTGCACATCATAGCCAATGTTAGATGGATCTTGGCTGAAAGACATTCCTCTGGTACTCTCTCCTATCTGTGTTTCATTGACTATGCAAAGGCCTTTGACTAAGTGGATCACAACAAATTATGGCTATTTTGAGAAGAATGGGAATACTGGATTACTTAATTGTGCTTATGTGAAATTTAAACTTGAACCAGGAAGCAGTCATCAGAACAGAGGAAGGAAACACTGCATGATCCAAAATCAGAAAAGGTGTATGTCAGGGATGTATTCTATCTCCATACCTGTGGATCATTCAGGAAGCTGGACTCTATGAAGAAGAATGTGGAATCAGAATTGGAGGAAGACTCAACAACCCATGCTATGCAAATAACATAATTTTGCTTGCTGAAAAAAGGAGCACCTGAGGCTTCAGAAGGTCAAAGAGTGCAGCCTTCAATATGGATTGAAGCTCAACATCAAGAAAACAAAGAGGCGGGGGGGAAAAAACCAAAGGTTTTCAGTACTGGGTCAATTGATAGCAGCGTCATGATAGAGAAGAGATTGAGATTGTTAATAAAACCTTCCAGGGGGTTTTCAGAGGCAGTAAATCACATGGGAGGAGTTTACTTTCTACCATGGAGCAGCTGGTGGATTTGAACTGCATACTTTTGGGTTGGCAGTGTAAGTCCTTACCACTAAGCCACCAGCCCAAATATCAAATCAGTCACATGAAGAATACAATTCTTTTTTCTGTCCTTGTCCACTGGTTTTTAGTTGTACCTTGGATATACTGAAAGTAACCATTGCTATATCTATTTGGAACTGACTCATAGGGGGCACATCACTGGATTTCTGAGGCTGTAAATTCCATAATAGGAGATTGCCCATCTGTCTCTCTCAGAGCTACTGGTAGATTTGAGTGATCAGAGAGGCATGAACTTTCAGTATGCATAACAACTCTCTATAGTTGTTGTTATGTGCCATCGAGTCATTTGCAATTCATAGCGACCCTAAGTACAACAGCCCTAAACCCTGCTCTATCCTGTGCCA